CTATATTTCTTCATATATATATATATATATATATATATATATAAATTAAGTTATGAAGAACTTGGTAATCTGTATGGGTAATCCCAAGGAGGATGAAAATCCTGAGAGTTCAATGTAAATCCAGAGCTAATATTTTAAAGAAAAACAGACCACTTTAAGGTACCATTATAATAATTTATTTCACCAGAGCCCTTTTAAAGGACGCCGGATCATCAGATAGCACTTGAAGTGCTATCTGATGATCCTGCATCTTATATGCCATATGTAGGTTTACTAATTTTACTAATTAACAATTTTTCTTGATTTGCTCTGCTGAAATTGGGATGTGTCTTATACACCTGTGCATCTTATATGCCATCAAATATGGTATATATTTTTATATATGTTATAGCTACAATAATTATGCATGAAAATGTAATTTGAAAATAACATTGGTATACTGCTTAATTAAAAAATTCTCATGGTGATTTTTGTTTAATAGATCATTCATAATTGCTTTCTATAAAATTTAAACTTATCTGTTTTTAGAGTAATTTTTGTCTTAATATAAGAATAAATTACTTTATACTTATTGCACATGGAATGCATTATATCAATGTCTTTCAGCCTTTTTTTATCTCACAGCACACTTGAACCTGTAGTGAAACTTCCGCAGCACACTTAAATTATGATGATCAAAACATGAGTATATTTTTTTAGGATTTATTTATTAACATGAACAAAACAATTTCTTATAACCTGTAATAAAAAAAAAATAACAATTAAAATTCTTAAAAAGCATATTTATTTTTTTGTTTATTATAATTTAACATTCAATGGTATTTCTTTAGAATATCTTCTTTACAAAGTCAAATTTTGGACAGGCATGCACTTAAATCTTCTACCAAGGATTCTAGCTGTGATCGATTTTTGTTTTTAATATTATTACAGAAAAGCTTGCATTTATGTATATGTTTATTTATTATAGCAATGATATAGTTGAATAATTAATTTAATGTGGTTTTAATTTGATATGTACACTTTGGACTTCTTTTGAAATTAATTTAATTAATGACCTTTAAAACTTTTCATGGCACACTTACAATCCTCTCAGGGCACATAAGTGTGTTGTAGCACACCTACAATCCCCTCACGGCACACCAGTGTGTCATGGCACATCGGTTGAAAATCACTACAATATATCATCGTATTTTTTTATGAAACAGAAATTAAAAATGAAATACAGTGATTAATTTTCAAATTATATTTTTAATTTTATTCCCTTAACTAAATCTAGTTTATATTCAGGTTAATAAATCCTGCTATTCTTCTCTTGCTCTGACTTTGATATGACCTTTCAATTCTGAATTTAATTATAATATTCAATATTTCAATTACATTTCAATTCACTGTAATTTTTTTAATGTACTTATTGTATGAAATCTGAAAACATTTGAACATGCTTGTATAAAGTGCAAATTATGCTTTTTTTAGCTTTGAATTACAAGCCTTATGAATTGAATGTTTTCAGTTTGTACTTGAGAATGTTTCAGATTTTTTGTGCATCATGCTACATGAACTTTTGGGCAATAAAATGTGTTTGATACTTGTCTGGTAATATTGTCAATTATCAAACAATTATTAGAATTGGAATTATTTTAAATGATCATTCTTAACATAAATGTGATAATTTCACTTCTTGTTTGGAAATGGTTTCTACATCAACAACTTATACACAAGTTATAATAGTCTTATACTGTTTTAAGATATTTGACTTCAAGATATAGTTTTAATTCAGTTTAGTTTAATTGAAGAATTTTCCTTTTTTTATTATTATTTTTAATGGCTGTTTTTTTCCAGTATTTCAAATTAGACAATAGATGATTAGATGGTTTTATAATGAGTTTAAATGTCTTGCTAGCTATTTTAAAGAAAATATACTGACATTCACGATTGGTCAAAAGTTGGCGGAGAACACTCTCTAGATTTTGTAGAATACCCTAAAAATTAAAGGCTGCAGGCCTTTTTCAAAACTAGTTCTCACTCTGGGCCAGAAGGATTTTTTCTTTCTGAAGGATTTTGTCATATATTCAATAATAATAATAACAAAATTGCTGCATAAAATTTCTTAAAGTTTTAGCTCTTTTTGCTTAATCTACTTTGCTAATGGTAATCCTAGAAATGGTGGATTTTAAATTTTAGGTAACACCCTTTCTAAAGTTTGGATGTCATGCACTAATGAGTTAAATAGTTTCTGAATCTTAGCTTAGTAGGAGTTAATTAAACCAAAGAAGGCATGAAACTTACTAATTGTTAAATCCAGAGGGTGTCCCAAAACTTTTGGCCCATAGTGTATACACTTTAGTTATATTTAGAAGATAATAAATCATGACTTCTGAACATAAATTTACTCAAGCTTAAAACTGACAAATGTTGAATTTATATTCAGTCATAATTATGTAATAAAATGCTTTATTTCTGGTGAATATCATACAGAATAATAATAGGAAACAAATAGTTATTTGAATTTATCACATATTTTGTGTAATTGATCTAAATCATGACATTCAGAAACTGTTTTGTGTGAGAATAGAAATATATAAAAACATGAAATGCAATTATGATTTTTTTAATCTTCCATTACTCTTCTCATTGATTATCATTTAAGTGAAACATATGATCACCTGTAGAAAAAAAATTACCTGTAAAATAGATTACCTGTAGAATTAAAATTGTTCTTTTATTTCTAAATTTTAGGTAGTAGTTCCAGTTTGAATATCCAGCCACAAAATGGAAATTCTGAGGAACCTGCATTTGGCGGTCCTAAACCCATGTTGCCTTATAGTTCCATGTTTATTTTTGGCCCAACCAATCCGTAAGTATAAAATGTTTCATTTTCTCTCAAAAACATGTTACTAAAAAATTTTCTTACACAGAAATATTTTTGTTTTTAATTAAATGTTTTAATAAAATACCTGTTATGATATTGTGCTAATAAATTGTTATTTTTCATGATAATGTTTAATCTTCTTATTAATCTTAATTTAAATAGTACAGGAGACAAAATTAGATAAAGTTGATCATTAGTGTATATTAGCTTTTATAAATAAAATGGAGAATATTAAATTAAGTGAAAAATGTTAAATTAACTTCTAAGTAACAAGACCAAGTTTCTTAAATTATATCTTTTTTGTGAATTTTGCACAAAAAAGTTCATTTTTGCAATAAAAACATAAAATAATATAGCAAATTTGAAGGAAATAAAATAAATCTTGTACTTACTTTAATCAAATAATCTAAAGTTATTCCAAGGGCAAAAAGCACTTGGAATAACTAAAAAAAAAGTATAAATTAAAGTGAATTGAAATTTCTTAAGGCAACTACAGCAGTGAACTACAAACCAAAAACTAAAATCTTCACTCCCAGTGGAACAAGATTTGAAACTGGCCTCTGCTTCTGAGCAAGTGTTACCCTATGACTTGGCCTTTAGTAAAAAATGCTATGATGTGAGTTCAAGTATTGCAAAGTGTTTATTCTTTATTTCCAATCTGCAGTGTTCACTAATAGCTGTAGAATGAATTGTACTATGTGATTCATGCCAAAATAATACCAGATGGTCTGAATCAAATCCAGTCTCAATGAGGAAGCTTTGTTCTGAGAGAGGCTGATCTGCAATGACTCAAATATGTATTGAAATCACCTCAGATGATGTCAGAATACACTTTGCACACCAGACTCTCAAAGAAGCCAGGTACACCAAATTGACCTAAAAGATAACCTTCTGAATCTAGGTGCACTTGGGATGGGCATACAAGGAAAAATAAAAGCATATGACAGGTAAATATATAAACAGCCACCTGAAAGGTAGAACCCTCAATAGAAGAAGAATCCACATTCAGAGAAGGCCTCAGTGTCTCATAACCCACTTGCGAAGATTAAATTGGAAAAGTCCAGAGTTAAATAAACAATAATCCTATGTTAGAGAGCAATGTCTTGTGTCTCTGTTACTCTGTAGGACAAATAACAATATAGAATAGTTGCAAGGAAAAACAAATGAAATTAAGATGAAAAAGAAATGATATAAAAATTGATATTGGTTTAACCCTTTAACATTCAACACACACTCAAAACCACCCTGTAAATATTGGCTCTCAAAGTCTCACCATTCATGGTCAAAGTCTCACCATTCATGGTCAAAGTCTCACTGTTTAAATGACTTTTTGCATTATTTTTGATGTTGCCATCATATATTATGGCAGTCTATATATGGGGCAGATTTGAGTAGGTGAAAGTATTAAAAAGGAATATTTGTTTTTAACAAAATATAATTATTGTATTTTGTTTAAGTTATACTAATTAACTCATCTTTATTGTATTTTTCTAATTACAACATTTTAGCCTCAGTAGGCACAGTGGAATAACGGATAGTGGCTCAGATTGAGGAATCAGAGAGCCAAGTTCAAATTCCAGTTGAATCCATTACATTCACTTATGTGCTAATACCCTTGGGAAAGGTATTAATCTTCTTTTTCTCCCCCCAGTTATGGGTAAATAGTAGGACAGACCGGGTTCTATAGCCTTGGATGGTAACTGGTCTACCGCAGAAAGAAATGATAACCTACTGCAGGAAAAAATCTACCTCATCAGTCATGTATCAAAAGATACATGATCAACTAAGCATGTATCATGCATGGCACATAACTAAAAAGCCTCAGTAGCCTCCATATAGGAGAGAACAAATGCACTGAATGTGATGTGTATGTGAGGGGAAGTACATATCCCCTTATGGTAAGGTTTTAAAATTGAAAATAAAACAGTCACCTAAGGAAGACAGGAGAGTAAAGTGGTTGAAATATTGTGATAAAAATACGAAAATATAAATAGATGTAAATTATTTTCACTATTTCTTAAGATTTATTTTTTGCTTTTCAGTGTTCGCCGTTTTTGCCATTTTGTGGTAAATCTACGTTATTTTGACCTATTCATCATGATTGTCATTTGTGCCAGTAGTATTGCTTTAGCGGCAGAAGACCCTGTCAATGACGAATCCGTAAACAACCAAATCCTGAATTATTTTGATTATGTTTTCACTGGAGTATTTACGATCGAAATGTTACTGAAGGTAGGTACTCAAAACAAACTCCTTTTACTTTCTTACTTGTTAATAATGCTTTTTGTTACTACAATTTTAAGAATATTTTTATTTATTTATTCTTTTTATATTAATGGTCCCTCAATACAAGGATCAAGAGCCACTCAAAGTAGAGGCATGTGATGTGATCGTAATAGGAGGAAGTAGGAAGTGAAAGTTATAAGGATATGAAGGAGAAATAATGACTGACTCTAGACATGAAGAGATTAAGAGTGTAGCGTTTGAGGAAGCAACTGTGTGAGAGTCTGTAGTGGCTCTTGTGAAGAAGCTGTTTGAGTGGAACACCCTACTGGAATATGTTGGGAATGAGAGAGATTCAAAATTATGGACATAGCAAGCCAGGACTTTTTTTGCAAAGGTTTGAACTGGTGACCCTAAAGAATAGGGCTTGTCTGAACAATTGCCATGGAAGTAGCGATAGAGTAGCAATAGTCATGTGATGCTGCATCTGTGGGAAAGGGGCTGCAGAGTGGAAAATAATTCATCACCCACAAGGCCAGATAAATGCTTTTGAATTCTGTTGAGGCTGGAAAGTGAGGATTGGTCAGATCCAGACCAATTATGGTAGCAATACTCCATATGAATGGTAGATAAGACATGCCATATGAAATTTTTTTTGTCCAAGATGAGCTGATAAAATATCTTGCAAAAAATTTTCAGGCAAGGTTTTCTTTCTCGGGCAGTGAATTGGTTCAGTGATTCAAAACAATTTGTGGATGGTAATGAAAGTAGTGAAAGCAATGATTGTGATGGAGCAGCTGACGAGATATATTGTAATAATTTTTTAATTCTTGAGTTTTAATACACTCATTTGTAACTGTGAAAATAATGATTGTTCTAGAGTAGCCATTTTTACTGTCTACTACAGGAGCCAGGCCTTCTCCAAGTCTGTCAGATATATAAATGGGCTTTACCCTGCTACACTGATCCATAATATATTTACAGGAGTATGAATTCAGAGTTTTTCCTTCTAGAATGGTTGCCCTACCAATGCTAAAGAGCCCAGTCAGCCCTATTATTTGACATGAGCTTGAATTCAATTTTTCTTCTTCCAGACTATTTGCTCTACAAATGCTAAAGAAACTTAGTTCAATGAGTTATGAGTGAACATTCCAATCAGTGACGTGCAGAGGTTTGGTGATGCCCGGAGCCAACTCCTTGACTGTATGCCCCTAAATCTCAAATAGGGGAGGGGTCTCCTCCAGTCTCGCTTATTAAAACAAAAACATGTATCCACATTCAAACCAGCTTGTGGGACTGTAGAGCACTTGTACAACAAAGATTTTAACAGAGACAATTTCAAATTTCAAAAACTAAATTTTTATTTCACTCTCTTTGATTAGATGCTCTCTTGATATGGATGCCCGTGGCTGTCGTACCTCCGGCAACTGGTGCCAATGTTTTAAAAAATTTTATTTAATTTACATATGGAAATTAGTTTTTCTTTTAATACGGATTATCTTTTAAATAAAAACCAAATTTAAAAGAAAATATTTATTTAAATTATTTAAAATGCGTTTATAAAAAGCTAAAGTGTTAAAAAAAAAAAAAAAAGGCTAAAAATTGATTGAAGCAGACGACACCTACTTAGACGCTTATTCAAGTCAACAGTTTTCTAAGCACGACAACAGATGTGATTTTCATCTGAAATGAAAACACAAAATAGTACACCTTTGCCTATGGAAATGTTTGTTTATGGATTTTTACTAGCCTTACACAACCCGAACATATGTGTTTGTTATTTATTGATTTTTCTTTTTTACCGGGAAAATTTATTATTTCGAATTACATTTGCTTTGTTTGACTAGGATTCATAATGTCAGCCTTTTCAACACAGAACTAAAGTTTTATCAAAACATAACTTTACGTGATCATTATTAATAATTTTTCAATCAAAGATGATCGATTTGATAACAATTTTGAATACATCAATTCAATTAAAACAATATACATAAAAATTAAAAAAAAATATCATATGGAAAGTTCTCTTTTAGAAAGGCTACGAGAAAAGAAAAAAAAAGCCATCAGAACATTTTCTTGCAAAACAGGACTCAAACTGCTGTGACATGATTACAAAAGTCGGTCCAGTATAGAAAGAAAAGGCCATTTAATAATTGAAAATTATTTCTTAAAGATGCAGTATTAATTTTTATAGGAAAAAAAAAGGATTATTTTTTAAACTCTCAAGTCCCATGTGTGGGTGGGATCCCCACGATAAAATTGCCTTGGGCTGCATTCAGAACTAGCGGGCATTTTGTTAAAAAATATCTTGAAAAGAAACAAAGGAATCCTGATATTACAAGACATGATGAAATGATGGACGTTCAATTGTCTAGTTTGCTTGCGTTGGAATCATTTTTGTCATGCAAACTAAATTTGTATATTTCTCAGGTATTACCCATAAAATCCCATTCAAATTGATAACCACCTTTTAGTTTTTTGTTTTTTTTTGGTAGTTTCATTTGTACATCGTGAATAAAGTATCCTTTTCAGAACGATCATACATAGTTAAAAAAAACTAAATCCCTATCAGTAAAATTAAACAAATAAATTAAAAAATGCTTTTGATGGTCATGATTTAATTGAATGTATTCAATTGTAATCTGATAATTATTTCCCCAAAAAGTAATTACCGACAGACAAAAAATAAAAAATAAAAATAACGAGAGGGCTACACAACCTCCCTTGTAAATTTGTTTAATAATTATTTAATTTTCTCTTAAATTGAATTGTTTTCTATTCTGTTCTCAAATGATTGTAAGAATTAACATCACTACAATAATTAATAATAATGGAAAGTAAATGTTTCATTCACCCTAATTTGCTAATTATGTTTTTGTTTATTTTTAAAGTTTTTTTCTTTATAATCTGTGGGAAATGTTTTAAAATCTCATTAATAACTCTGATTAATGGAGTTATCTTTTTTACACAAGCAATATAATTTATTTAAATAGTGACAAAAAAAATATGAATGAATTGAATGTATTGAATATCGTTCATGAATTTGTATATATGACTTGTTAGTTCTGAGTAGCCCTGCTAGTTACTTACGAAATTAATAACTAATAAATTAAAAATGAGGAATTTATTGGTAGTAATTACAAATTCTGCATGTTTACTTTTAAAATAAAAGCAAATATTATTCACTGGCATCAAAGCTTCAGCTAAAAAATTTCGTTAACTTAAAAAATTTAAGTGTACTTTAAATTGGTACGTGTGTGCAGTTTAGTTAAAAAAAAATCAAACTCCCAGGTAAAAAATGGAGAAAAAAAAAACTACAAATAATATTGAAATGTATTTTACTGTTTGTTGTTGTGTACTCAAACATACTGAAACTGATAAAGACCACAAAAGACAGAATTTACTTAAGAGAGCATAAACGTTCGTCCGTCTAACATAGCATCCTTTCGTGGCTACGTCACTGTCCATTTATTAAGTACAGTGTAACCCGGATATAAGAGACCCGGATATAAGAGAAACCCGGATATAAGAGAGATATTCTCTGGTCCCAAATTAGAGCCTGTGTTAATGTATATAAAATAGACCAAACCCAAATATAAGAGAAACCCGGATATAAGAGACTTCTTCTCCAGTCCCGACAACTCTCTTATATCCGGGTTACACTGTACCATGAAAAGATGCCCTCCCCTAGTGACAAAAAAAAAAAAAAAAAAGGATAGATGACCCAACACGTTGGGTTACTCGAGACAAAGGAACACAACTCCACATCTTGGTTCAATATGTTATACTCATTGAAATGATCGAGACATTATTAAAATGTAGCTAGTCTATTCGTCTGTGTACTATGTGTATGGACCGAGCATGTGAGCAACGATGAGGTCTTAGAGAGGTTACAAACAAGGAAAATGCTTATCACTTAACATCAGAAAGAGGTAGCTGAAGTTTCTGGGACATATAATGAGGAAGGAGGGCCCGGAGAATCTGATACTCATGGGCCGAATAGAGGGAAAGAGAGACAAAGGAAAGCAGCGTGTGACATACCTGACGAGCTTGAGCAGGTGGATGACAGAACGGGGTCTGGGGGCAGTAGCAGAGGGAAGGAACTTGCTGAGAGCTGCAAGTGATAGAAGGAGATGGAGAGCCATGATCGCCTACATCCTGAAAGGACATGGCACATAAAAAGAAAAAGAACTATGTGTATGTTTCCGGATTAAAATACAATAAAAAAAAACTTTAAAAGTAAAAAAAAAAAAGCATATATGTTCAGATTAACTTAAGTATATTCCAAAAACGATTTCCATAGACAATTTATTTCTGTACTTTTCATATAGGTGAAAATATTTGTAAATTAATATGTACGTAAGAGTTATTAGAAAATGTAGCAAAAAATATGTCGATATTTAGTAGTGGTGTTTACAATTTAAACATGATGCCATTCAGTTACTTTTTTTAAATAAACAGTGACAAATAATTAAACGGAAATAGAAAAAGATTAAATTAAAACACTATAGACAACCATTTTTTTAATTTAATTAAAAAAGGCTTATTTGTTTAAAAATTACAAAAATTCTCCGTGAAAGACAATTGTAGGTCGCTGTAAAAAAATGGATACGAATTGAAAATTGTAAAGTTTATTAATGCCATTTTCCACATCAGAAATATTTTTAAAATAATTTTATTTCCTTTTTGCAACTGTTAAAATATTATTTGTACAGAAGATCAAATAGGAAATAATTCCACAATTCTGCATTACTTCTCTGTTAAAAATAATTATATATGATTCCTGGAGGTATCTAGAATATTTTATAACATTTAATAAATGTAAGAAAGTAAAGTGAAGGCAATCAATAAACAGTATCAAATTCCCTATTGCCTTTTCCACAGTTTTGATTTCAGAGTTTTCCTCTTTGATTAGCTGACTTCCCAAGGCTAGACAGCTCCATCTGCCACCCAAATCAGTTTTATAATCACTTTACAGAAAAGAAAATTTAACATTTTCTTCCATTGATATTATATTATTGTTCTATTTGTGTTTTTTCCAGATTGTTGATCTTGGGATAATTCTTCACCCGGGATCTTACTGCCGGGATGCATGGAATATTCTGGATGCAACAGTTGTCATCTGTGCTTTGGTGGCCTTTGCGTTCAGGTAAGCACAAAAAAAAAAATTTTTAGCTAAAATTTGATAATAATCATATGGAGTAAAATGTAAAAAATATGTAATAATAATTGTTATCTAAAACAATCTAATTCTAACAGTTACAGTGTGAGAAGAGATTTCAGTACAATTAAATCTTTACATCTTTTATGAGTACTTCATCTATTTAAATGAATGTAGTAATAATTGATATTTAAAGAAATCTAATTCTAGAACTTTTCTTTCTATTTACAGTGACAGTGCGGGAAGAAATCTCAATACAATTAAATCTTTACGTGTTTTACGAGTGCTTCGTCCCTTAAAAACTATTAATAGAATACCTAAACTTAAGGTTAGTCTCTCATTTTCTAATTTTGTCTGTTTTGTTGTTTAATTATATGAGACTGTGTTTATAATATGATTGGGTACTTGTTAACAGAATGTATTAGCATCACAAAAGACACTCCAAAGTGTGAAGTACAAATTGGAGACATCAGAATCAACCAGGTATAGAAGAATGAGGAATGTCTTCCAGAGGCTAAACAAAGTATTAAGAGATAGGAAAATGTCCTTAGAAAAGACTGATGAATAGCTGTGTAATATCCAACTTCCTATATAGTGGTGGATTCCTGACATATCCTCACAAATGATGATGAGACTTGAGGCTAAAGAGATATGGTCGTCCAAAATGATGCTAAGAATACCATGGTCAGACCATGTGAGCAACAAGGACGTTTTAAGGAAAATAGGAATGAAAATTTATATATTTATACTTAGAATCAGAAATATGTGTCACATAATAAGGAAAGATGATTGGGAGAATTTAACACTCACAGTATATTGAAGGCAAGATGAGCAAAGGGAGATCTTGAATAACTTGCCTCACAAATTTATATAGTTATGCAATGCAGGGACTGAGACAGAAAGTAAAGGGTCAAAATTTACTTAGAAATACAATGGACAGAAAGCTGTGGAGAGCCATGGTTGCTCATATCCTAAAGGAACATGGCACATGAAAGAAGACTTGTTTTATAAATAACTCTAGATTTGAGTCAGTACTGCTTAAATGGTTGCTTTAATTTTTATGCTTTCAGTCTAATAAATATAAAAGAAAGATATTTCATTCTTGTAGAATTGATAGAATCCTTGAATACAGTATTATTTTATTATTTATTCAGTCAATTTAGTTCGGACATTCATCAGTTTATCACACTAACCATCAAGGTCGGAAGGTCATTAGAGAGGCATTCTGTGTCATAACATAGCTGGTCAATATAGGTGGTTACTGAACAACCAACCCATCTTGCTCTATTGTGGAGTGTCTAGTTCTTGTTTTGCCCACCAGTAGTGTCCTGCATTCTGCATTTGTGTAAGATTGTAGAAATATTAAGGATGGATCCATAGAGCTGTGATTTAGTTGACTGTTTACAGATGTTAAGTATAACTCTCAGTATCTGAATGTAGGTTCCATCAAGCTTACATTGTAGGGTTTTAGTTAATGTCCATACAGTGGCACCATACATTAATACCGTCTCTAAAGTGACTCAAAAGATTCTCCGTTTGAGGTTGCCTGGTAGATCAGATTTCCAGATTCATCCATTTTATTCAAGGCAGCCCAGGCTTTAGCTATGTGAATTTTCACATCCTTTTTAGAACATATTTAGTAAAATTTTTATTTAATTTTATTTTTTCTTTCTTTACTATTTTTTTTGTTAGACCACATTGATGTTAGTAGTGGAGTTACTTAAGATTTAGTCAAATTGTAGTTATAGAAAAATATTGTTTCATGGTCCTAAGAGGATTGCACAGACATCACTAGAGGAATGTACTCTCATTTATTTCACATTTCATACTTAACAGCTATTCAAATAAATAAATGAAGTTATTTTAAAACAATGATGAAATATTGCAGTGATATAGTTTGACACTGTAAGAACAATCTACTGTGTCATCCAGTGATATTTTCTCACTCTTGTGAGATGGACTGCACTATGCAAGTTCTTTTCCACTTACCTTCTGTCATCAGTCTATCACATTAAATTGAGGAATTTCACAGGGAATAGTAATTTTAGCATACATGAATTCTTTCACAGACTGAATATTGGCACAATACTGAAAGAGTTTCCATTCTTTTCAGGATAAAGGAACAGGTCAGTTGCTAAGTTGAATTTGAAATGTGAAGAAAAAAAACAGAAGTTAGCTTTGCAGTGTCAATGCATTCTTGCTAAGACCATGATAGTTAACAAGTACTGATTATTGTTACTAATTACCTGGTTGACTTTATCTCAAAACATATTACAAAGAAATATAAGAAACTCTTCGAGTCTCTTTCAACTTTATCCATTTGCCTTTTATAGCAAATTCCAAAATCATCATTTCAAAATTATTTGTAAACATTGGAACCTGCCTTTCTCATTCAAATACAGCTACCTGTCTCAATATTGGTTAATGGTTAGCAAGGCTTGACTTGTTAACTATTACTACTGAGTTCAATTCTAACTGGGTGCCCCATACAAAATTTACCATTAAATAATCCAACAAGGGCTGACATGTAAAATCAATAAACCTAAGCAGACAGCTTCTTTACCAATTAAGCTACAAAGGCTAACTAATTACAGTCAGCTTCAGAAAGGTAGGCTCGAAGAATAAGGAATGTAATTTTGAGTTTCACCATTGACTTATACATTTTTTTTTAATTCAGAATGCTTACTAATGATCATAGAAAGGGAAAAGGATGATTTGTCAACAATTAATAATAATGACAATACTTCATCTAAGGAAATGTGAACAATATAAGATTACTTATTACTACTAGATATAAGCAGTCAATAGAAATAAGATGAAAAAAAAACTTGACAAAAATTAAGAATAATAACAATGTGTCATTTGAGAAATTTAAAAAATATTAAATGCTATAAATTATAAATCAGTAAAACGTTTAAAATTGTACAAAGAATTGTTGATATTTTTGAAACAAACATTTAGATATTTAAATAATTACATGTTGTAAAAAATTTATAATCATATTCATTAACTGAGATTCAACAATGTCAAAAATTTAATAATTCCAAGAATTAAAATCTTAAAACAATCATAGATATCAAATAAATATGGGCTTTATATTTCCTCATAACTACATGGACGAATATTTTATCTCTTTTCTAACAAATTTCTTTTTTTTATCTTTTCAGGCTGTGTTTGACTGTGTCGTGAATTCGTTAAAAAATGTGTCTAATATTCTCATTGTATATTTGTTGTTTCAATTCATCTTTGCTGTTATTGCTGTACAGCTCTTCAAAGGAAAATTTTTCTACTGTACAGACATGTCCAAATCTAATAGAGAAGAATGTCAGTAAGTTGATTTTCAAATATTTTTACATCTATAAAGTTGAATCAACTCCTAAATAGTAAAATTTAAAAAGCTATCACTTTTTAATTTATAATAACATTTACATATATACCATATGTACTTGCATATTTTTATTAACTTTTGTTTATAACAGATTTATCTCCCTTCTCCTGTTATTTGATCTCTTTTAAACGTGTCTCTTTTGTTTGATCTCTTTTAAACATATTAATTTGAATTAACTCCTAAATCCTAAAATATAAAAAAGTTATCACTGTAAAAATTTTAATAACTTTCTCTCTCTATCTTTTGCCACACACACACATACATACACACACACACACCATATGTATATATATAATATATTAATATATATATAATGATATTTTGCTGTAATAGATATATCTCCTTCAAACTGTTGACACTAGTTAGTAGTGTCTCTTTTATAATAGTGGACTGTTTGGAGATACTTTTGAAAACAGTATGTGAAAAAAACAACCTCATAAAAGATCAGAATACAATGATAATAATTTTATATATGTTATTATTTTTGACAGTATGTATAAACTAGTATTTTTAATAGTGTTTGGATTAGTATTTAAAGTCTCAGCCATGCATATACATGCACACATAATTATACTTTCTTTCATTCTCTCCTGTGAATACCAGATTTTCCTCATTAAGTGCCCTAGAAACCACAACTTCTCTTCCTGATGTTAAGCATAAGTTTCTTTTTTGTTTCCATTTTCTCTAAATCTTCTACTGATTGATGGCAGCAGAACAGAGTTATTAATTCAAGAAAAATCTACAGAAAGATGTTCTGTTCTAGGATTATTTTGTAATTAAGAGTAAACAAATTATTAATAAACAAAAATAGCCAATGATCACTGGCAAGTAGAAATTAAGCTGAAATAAATTCTAGTAAAAAATTAATAATAATGACAATGCTAAGAAAAGAACTTGCAGTAAGATGGTTAAGTTACAAGTTTTTGGAATGAGGAATTATCCTTATTATATACTATTCTGACTAGCATGTTCATCTCAATTGTTATACTCACACTGTTTCAGCCATTGTACTCTCCAGCTTTCTTCAGATGTTATACTTGGTAACCTGTGGATTTTGAATCAAATCCTTTATTAATTCTGCTTTCTATGCTTAGGGGAGATAACTCGTATTAATTAATACTCATCAGTCTTATTCACCTATGTGTCTCTTGTCTATTTCTTCTTCTGAGCCAAGACATACAATGTCTTATTTTAATTTAAGAGAAATTGTATGGAATATTATTTGGATTACTAGTTTACATATGCCATAATAATAAGGGCATATTTTGTTAAGTCCTTACTATTATTAGGTTTTCACAAATGAGTTTTTCAATATACATTTCTAATTATGTTAATGGTAGTAATTCTGAGATGAGTTTATTATTTAACAACAGCAGAAAATTGACCCCTACAACAGAAAATCGACCCTTCAATAGACTCATATAAATATGAGTTTACCCTTGCTAAAAGAAATTACAATATATTTTAAGCCCTTACTATTATTATGTTTTCACATGTGAGTTTTTAAATATATGGGTATATACAGTACCTTTCAAAAATGACAGGATTAATTATGTATATATAGGCAGAGTGCACAGATACTTTACTGATGTAAAGTATCTGTGCACTCTGCCTAAGATCAAAGTATCTCTCCCAAGTCTACTGCCTAGGATCAGAGTAGTAACTATGCACTCTACCTAACTTTGTATTTGCATTCATTTTATTTTGTTGTGGAAGAACACTGGCAAAATGGATATGTCATTTGCCTGATTACCTCCAGGCAAGTGATATACATTTGAATCAAGGAAGGATTCTTTTTTTTTTATTTTACACATATCTTTGCTTTATTACAAAAAAATTACAAAGACAAAAAATATAGATTGCATTTCATATAGATAGATTTTTGCTGCATGTTTTATACAATTTTTTTCTTTTGTCTTTTCAGGGGTCAATATTTTGATTATGAAGATAAGTCAGATAAACCACGAGTTAAAAACAGAGAATGGCTACGGCAAGATTTTCATTATGACAATGTCATGTTTGCTATGTTAACATTATTTACTGTCACCACAGGAGAAGGTTGGCCAACGTAAGTGGTGTTTCATATTTATCATCCTGATTTTTGTTACTTGTAATAAGAAAATCCAAATTCCAATTAATGAAAAGAATGTTATGACCTAATAAAGAAATTATTTGGGAAAATTTTATTCATATGTTGAAAAATAGTTTGATTTTTTTAAAATTAGAATTGCAGTTATAAATTGATTTGAATGTTTCAATAACTTATTCAAAATATGTAAAAATACAATAAAAAATATAAGCAGAGTAACCTTGTCAGTTGAATTTAATAAAACCTTGATAAAATTATTGCTGCTTAAATATATATTGTATAAACATACTAAACCATCTATAAACCTTTTGGATTCCTTTTAAAAGCACTACATGATAAAAAATGATGAAGTAACAATATTATCAATTTTATTATTAATTAAGCATAACTTAATTTGTATTTTTAATCTAAGTTATTGTGATGATTATTATTACTCACATTATATAATATTACTTAGATCAAAGACAATAATAGACTAATAAATGGAAAGGTATTTCAGAATTTATGAAAAAATGCAGTCCCTGATACACAGAACAACAGAAGAAAATGACAAAACTTTGAACATATTAAAATTATTAGTATATCATTTCCATTCAAATATTAGTAGCCCCAAGGTGGCAAGTTATATCAATTTTACAATTTCCTATATTATAATTTTCAAAGGTGAAGGTCATTCAAAAATAAAAAACAAAACAAAGAGCAATCATCTACTTTGGGAGATTCTTATTGAAATAACATAAAGTATGGATGCCTCTTTTTTGTGCACTTAATTTCATTTTTTTCTAGGTAATATTTTCAAAATAATCATATTTTTTATGTACATACTTGTATCTTCCTCACATTTATTTCAAAATGCATAATGGTAGCAAACCAACATGCATCTATTTATTTACTGTCAAGTCATGTAACACAATTTTCCAGCCATACACATTTTACAATACCACAGCCCTTACATAGTGTCTTCACCTATCAAGTAATTGCCAAAGTGAATTGTATAAATATATGTTGTGTTAAGTATATTTTAATTTATTTAATAATGTATGATGTATTATGCATGTTTATTTTTTTTCACACAAATAATAGATGGAATATAATATGCAAATGTTTGTTTATATAGGCCTATTGATATAAAAATGTGTATAAAAAATACTGAATTTCCTATTAAAACTGCTGAAAAAAACAGCCCTAACTCAAGAACCACTTGTCTAATTATAATGAAATTTGGCACTGCACTTAGGAGGGGTTCAAAGTACAATATGCTCTGAAATTGGTTGTGGTATTATGTATTGTTTGAGCTGTATCTCAAGAACACATACACATACAAAATTAGAGTTTTAGCATTATTTGTGTGTGTGTGTGTGTGTGTGTGTGTGTGTGTGTAAGTCAATAGCCTAATGAGAAAAATTTTAAATTTATTTTACAGAACAAATATTTTCAACATAATTGTTTTAATGCACTTAATCCAATGGTGAATATTAAATTACATAAATTTTACATTATACAGCAAAAATTTCAGATCAAAATTCATCAAATAATTAGCAGATTTATTGATGCACCCTTGTATGTTTATGACTGACAAAATGATAGATATGAGCCTAAATAACTGTGATAGTAAATTGTTAATCAATAGTCTAATAAAGAACATGTTTTAGTGAATATGTTTTCTGTCACTACCCAGATGTAGATCTTATTGAGCATCACTCAAATTAAAAAATGTTAAAATATGTCGGTTGGGAAAAGGGTATTTGTGCAGAAAGTGGAATTGACGAACTGAGCTCAAATTCCAGCATAGCCTGCTTCATTCACTTTTGCACAAATACCTTTGGGAAAAACATGAATCCACTGGTTCATTAACCCATTGTTTGGATATATACTATTTTGTTTTGTATTTTTTATTCTAAATAAGATTAATATTTGCACAATACACAGTGTAAATATTATTCAATGTTCCTTTGTTAATAAATTTATATTTTTAAAAAAGTTAATTTTTGAAAAAAAAAGTAAATATTAATAATGGAATTTATATTGCAGCAGCATTTTCCATTATAAAAGCTGGATTTCCAAGTAAATGTTTCCAATTCCAAGAAGATCTTTAAATGATCTAAGTTTATTTCTTGTTCAACAAGCAAGTTTTAGAAGTTACTATAACTTTTTAAACATTTCAATAGAAACACATCAAAAGTGCAAGGGTTATTGGCATGCAAATTGGAATCAGTCAGCAAAGTTCAAATTCCCACTTAGGCTGTTGCATTTACTTTCACACCAATGCTCTTTGGAAAGGCATTACTTCTCCCTTCCTCAGATATGGGTTTAAATAACTGGGTAGATTGGACTCTCTAGCTTTGGATAGCAAGCAGTCTATGAGAAGGACTACTCTGAATTCAAAACTATAAAGAAACCACTCCACTATCTTTCCCAAAAAAGTTTGCCAATTCACAAATAATAAGGAAAAAGCTTTAAAAAATTCCACTATTATGGAAGTAAGCTAGGTACCAGTAGTCATTGGTCTTTGCCCAGAAGACCTAGGAAGTATTTCTGAGTCATTTTTAGACAGGAAAAGGGGATATTATATGTCATAGGATATACTAATTGTCTGTAACTTTTAATCAGATTCATATTTATTGAAATAACATAAAATATGGATGCCTCCTTTTTGTTCTCTTAATTTCATATTATGTGTTGTATAGGAATAAAATGTCATTGTCAACACTGTAGTTTAAACACAAATCATCAGTGTGCAAACACGGACAATTCCATTATTAAATAAGTAGATCATATGATCGTAAAGGAAACGTTTAAATGACATCTAAGTGATCGGTTCTTCTCGATACTATCCACTATACTATTTCTCTATACTGTTCATTATATGAATTACTATTTGGTGATTACTATTTGAATAAATATTATTAGTGATAGTATTAATGAAGGTGTTAGTACTACCAGTATCTGTGTTTATAAAGTCATGTCTACAACAAGCATTTCGGAAGTGATAATGAGCATTCGTTGACTTAACTGAAGTTACAACAAGTGAGCATCTAACATCACAAAAATATGACAAATAAATTATAAGTTTAAAGTTTTAATGGTGAGTTTTTGATATCATTTCAGTAGTTATCTACTGAAAAATTTATAATTATTTTTTTTAATTTCCAGAGTTTTGAAAAATTCCATGGATTCCACCAGTGATGACATGGGACCAAAACCAGGTTACCGCATGGAAATGGCAATTTACTATGTTGTGTTCTTCATTGTCTTTCCATTTTTCTTTGTTAACATCTTTGTGGCCTTAATCATCATCACATTTCAAGAACAAGGAGAAAACGAGTTAGTTGATCAAGATCTGGATAAAAATCAGGTAAAATATAAAACTGTATATAATTATAAGAAGAGAATAATAAAATATAAAATTAAATGTTCACTTGCTGTATCCCTATTTTGAGTTATATGGAAATTGCATCCACTTATCAGAGTACTTAATTGTAAAACTGAATTTATTTATAGAAATCATAAATCAGAAAAAATGTTTTCTATAAATTTAATTTTACAATTAAATCCATTTATGAATGGATATAAGCTCTGCAAAACTCAGAGTAGAAAAATGTGAACATTTAATTTTATTTATTACTGTTAATGTTAATATCTCTTATAGTGAGCACTATAATTACAAAACTGCTTGCTTTAAAAACATTATCTTCTATAAATACCATGGTCAACTTTTTGGGGAAAAAGACATTTTTTGCTATTGTTATTAAATATATATTAGCTATAACATATATAAGACCATTTTAAATAACAAAGAACACACCAAATCTTAGCAAGTATACATTCATCTTCCAACTCTTCAGACTTTGAGTGCTAGAATCAGTAAAATAGTGCAGTTTCAATAAATGTCAATGAAGTCATACTTTTGAAAACACTTCTATTCATCTGGAAGACCCAAAAATCTTTGCAAAATACTCAAACTGCAAGTTTGATAATGCATATTTAAATATTTATTTTTCTTATCTTTAATTTCTTTTTACTCTGGAACCCAGCTAACTAGCAAAACCTTCCTTATTTGCCAGCATTTTGCTAACACCTTTGACTGAGCATTCCAAAATTTACCTGGCTACTTACATATGAAAAATATTATTTTCAATATAAAACATGAAAGCTTACAAACACAAAATGAGTACAAAATGGAGATCGAGTTGACATTGAGGATGCTCCCAAACACATTCAAGTATGCATAGTCTACTCTCTGTTCATTGTTCAACTCATTAGCTGAATTTAGTTTTCTTCAGAGAAACTCTTAATTATTTCATTTGTTTACCTAATGAAATGTTCTCACTGTACATTGTATTTGAGAAGCTTTCTAAATTTGTTGTAACTGTTTTATATAGCAAAGTGTGTAGGGATGTAACAGGTATCAGTAGAGAAAATGGAATTGGTGAACAGAGTTGGAGTTTTCACCACGGTTGCTTACATTCATATTACACTAATTCACTTGGGAAAGGCATGAAATAGCTTCTCCCTTCAGCTATAGATAAAAATGACTGTTAAAGTCTTTCTAGCTAAAAGAAGATTGCTCTGACAGAAGAAACCTATAGCATGGTCCTTGCTGTAGCCAATCTCAAGCATGGTTAAAAAACAGAGTTGAGCTTTAGATCAGCACCTCAGCCCTGTAAAAACTACAGAAACAATGACTGAATCTTCAGTGTACAAATATATTACTTAAAATAATGACAAAAATATTGTCTTGTTCCATGGGAGAATTTCTATATGATTTTATTTTATACTAAGACCCACAGAAATACCAATCCTTGCTCAGGTTTATGAATCCCTAAAACATGAGTTAACTTTGTATCATTTCCTTTAAAAATAGACTGACAATCTTCACTTGTTTTAATCAGAATATTTGCTTCCAAGCAATTCAGAAAATATTTCAATTTTACATTTATAAAAATTCACAAAAATAAATATGAGATTAAAAAATAAATATTAAAATAAAAATATGAATACATAACTATACACAGATATACATACAAATATACCATTATTATGAGATTTTGTTAAATTATACAGTACAATAAAATGCTATAATCCTGTATCATTTAGAAAGATGGTTTATTGACTATCTTCTCATAATTAATGAAGATATAAACAGACTTTTTGTCTTTCTTTCTTCTAAAGGATATCTGCATACCCAAATTATCCTACAAGAATATCTCCTTAAAAATTTGGATCTCATTCTTTTTGTTTCTGAAAAATTTAGTCATAATTAATTTAAACAGTTAATTTAAATCCATTTAAATTTTTATCAATAATTTGTATGAGATATATGTGTATGCATGTGTGTATAAAATTTGATTAATCATACAAGGTATTAATAAATGTTTAATTTATTTACAGAAACAATGCATTGAATTTTCGATCGAAGCAAAGCCATCCTGTCGATATATGCCCAAAAATAAAAATTCGATAAAATATAAAATATGGCAAGTAGTGGTGTCGCCTAAGTTTGAATACGTCGTCATGGTTCTCATTGCTTTAAATACATTAGTTCTCATGATGAAGGTAAATATATTTCTTTTTTTACTTTTGTCTTTCTTTAGCTTTAATCAAAATTGAATTTTGCACATTTTTATCATATTTATTTTATTAAATCTTGCATTTAATAACAAAATTTATTTCATCCTATTGCATTCTTTTATGTTGATATAATTTTATGTGTAATAGATTTGTGTTTATTCATAAATGTACCAAATATCTATCTGATTATTTAATGTTTTCTTAAAATATAATTTTTGCTTTTTATGTATTTGAGCAATGAGTGAATATAAATGTATTTAAAAGGCTCTTATCAAACAGCAACAATAGTTTTTTGAGGGATAAACTAACAAATCTGAATTAGACAGAAAAGAGGGTTTCTTATTTGATAATAAGCATTTTAGAATTAGTAAATCTGCATCCTGAAATATGTATTTTAACATATCTTTCAAGTGTCTATCAAGTTTTTTTTTGGTTTCTTAAGAGCCTTTTTTTTATTTAATTATTACTTTCTTTTGTGGCATTAAAACATTATTTCATGTGTTCTTTAAAATTGTTTTTTTTTTATTTAAACTAACCAGTAAATAAAATTAAAATGCTAAATTTTAAAGTATTACTGTATTATGGCATAATTGACGTACAAGGGGCATATTGTGGATAAAAAAGTCTACTATTTAAGGATATAATTTTAAAGCAGTCTATTAATACATTACAAAATATTACAAAGCCATTTCAGCTATAGAAGAAAACAAGCTAGCAGACAGCTGAAGATAAAGCAAGAAATTACAATAGTAATGACTACAGTAATAAAACATTGTAAGAGAAAACAAGAGAGAACAATTTATAAAAAGCAAACTACTACTATAGTTGAACATAAACCAAGATACAGTTTTAAAATCACTGGTATTTCCTTTCAGTTACATCTGTTTCTCCTGTAGTTTCCATCTGGTTAGGAGTGTGGAAAGGCATATTTAGTTATGATTGATTAGTTGATACCAATAAAGTTTTCCAGTACTTTGTTATAATTCTTTTTACAGTACTACTGCTACTGCTACTTCTACTACTACTAGTAGTAGTAGCAGCAGCAGCAACAACAACAACAACATCATCATTATTATTACTACTACTACTAATAATGATGATGATGATGAGCTCTGGTCCTCATGAGAAATATTAACAGTGTCTCAGGTAACAACAACATACAAGTTGCCAAGAAAATCACCCTACTTGGAACATCCCATGTACTAAGAAAAGTGCTATTAATTAAATGACAATTCTTCTATAGGGCCTAAGGACCATAGTTTGGACCTGGCTCTACAGGATTCAAAGCAAGAAATATAACACACAAACAACAACAATAATAATATTAATAATAATAAATAAGATGAGCAACAATAAATATCCCATTCAGTACCACAAATTTGCATGTCAGTTACCTGACCATAACCAATTGGGTATGTCTCCTAGAGGCTGGAATAACATGAACAGGAGTAATTGGGGTGCATTATGGCCTGATATTGTTCTTTTTAAATTTGAAGGATGAGGTAGCTTTTGTTACTTGGGAGCAATATCTAGATACTTGGGAACATATTGAATTGGGGATTGTCTTGAGCAGACTGGGTTACACAACCTGAAGGTATTTCTAATTTGGTCCCACCAGTTATATGCTGCTTTTAACAAAACCTGTCAGAATACTGTGCACATTTGGCTGTGATACATGTGCCTGGCCTACCTTAATCAGACTGAGTTTTATGATGAGTATATTGGGCTTCATATATTTGCACCCCAGCATCATTTTGTTGTTATGTTTATTGTCTCACTCAATAATAACAATATCATTTTAAAGAATCTGGTTAGATAGAAGTGGCCATCTGAGGTAAAATTATAGTCTATGGTAGGGGATGTTACAGATAAAATTAACATATAGGAGACCTCAATTGTACATGTAAGATGTAAGACAATTTTTTTGAAAAAGGGTGCATCTTCTATGCTGTCAAATACAGTATTTTAATGCTTTGACTTTTTGTATTGATTTGTTTGCTATTTTTGTCTTATAACTAAGAATATTATGCTTATATTAAATTATGAAGGTTAACAATTACTAATTGATGTTATAATGTTCATCAGTCTATAATTATTATAGAATGTTTTGATCATTTATATTATTACCAAGTTTTTATTGTATTTTGAAATATTTTATATTTTAATGTGTATTTACAGTCTTTACTTTACTTTAAAAACATCTTAAATTCAATTATAAAAAATTTCAATGAATTTTATGACATCCTTTGACTTTTATTTTAAATAAGATCAAAAACATACTTACAGAAAACTTTTTATGTACATTTATTGATCTCTGTACATGTTCGTTAATTGATACATACTTATATAATGAACTTTGTAATGTCAGCTTCAATAGATGTATTATATTTTTTTCAGTAATGAACATTATATGAGCATCTTCTTTTATTCAGTGGTTAACAAGCTTACCTCACAATCCAATTTACTATTTCAGTGAGTTCAGTCCTCACTTGGTGCCCCACTTAAATTGTATTAAGCTTATTGAAAACATTGTTTTTTCCCCTTTCAGAATTCATAGTGAAGGATTTTATCTATATTTGTTTAATAACAAAAGTAAAATTTCAACAGCTATTTTGTGATGTCATTTTTGTGTTTATCACACACACACACACACACACACACATATAGATGAAGGTTTAGTTGAAGTCTAATGAAAGTCGTTTGTTTAAGATTTTTATATTTATTTATTTTTGGTTTGAAAATCAAACATGACAACCATCAATGTGTGAAGAGGAAACAATTGAACACCAGCAAATAAATACAAGGCCTACCTATAGGCATAACCATATGTTCAGACTGTCTTAAACAAAGAATATTCATTGGTTTTCAAACCAAATTTGCAGAAGTTTTATATATATATATATATATATATATATATATATATATATATATATATATATAAAAATTAATACATATATATATATATATATATATATATATATATATATATATATAAAAATTAATACATATATATATATATATATATATATATATATATATATCAAAAATAAATATATATATATATATATATATATATATATATATATCAAAATTAATATATATATATATATATATATATATATATATCAAAAATTAATACAAAAGATGATATTAAAATAGTCTTAATTTCTCATACCTAAAGTTATGCTGAAAAATCTCATATAATAGAACTAATTATGATATGTTATGCAAAAATCTAACTAATAACTTTGTTCCTGTCCCTCTGCCTCGAAATTGCTAGACAATTTGGATGGGAAACTTCAATGCAAATGTTGGGAACATAAAAGAAGAGGAATCTAGTGTAGAAAATTTGGAAAATGGAAGAGAAATGAGAGCGGTAAAATGTTACTTAACTTCTCAGACACAAATGAGAATCATGAATACATTTTTTTAAAAGAAAGGTAGCCAAAAATGCACTTGGAAAATGTGGAAACAAAAAATAAAACTGACTTCTAACTGCTGACAAAATCAATATTGTTAAAGAGGAAACACTCATAAATAAATTCAATATAGGAATCGATCACTGAATATTATTTGTATTTGTAGGATATATAGAAATTATATAAATTAGATTGGAAAAAAAATTGAATTTATTTTATTATCAGACAACAGTAATATTATTTGCTATTTTACAGTTTTCTTTTGCAAAGGGAAATAATCATCTGAGTTTAATTTACAAATTGTCAGGGGACGTAACTACCGTTTTTCTCTTGCAAGAATCCAAATAAAATTTTCAGTTAAATTTCTAAACAAATAAAAATTTTGATAAAATTTAATTATCTATGAAATACTACCTTTATCCAATTCTAAGCAATAATAAAAATGAATTAAAAAAGGCAATACTATCTGCTAAAAAATTGTCTGTATATAAATAAAAATTTCATTTTTTTAAATTAGTGGTTAACTTTTTATAATCTTAGTTTACTCATAATATCAATGAACTAAAGGAAAAATTTAACTGATGTTACAATTACATTGCTTATTTTCTGCATGATTAATCTAGAATTCTTTTATTTATGCAAATAACTTTGTTGTCATGCGCAAGAAAGAATTCTACTTTCTAAATTACTAAAAGTAATTAGTAAAAAATATCCAAAGCTAAAATAAAATAAAAAAGCAACCCAACTTATAAATGAGATATTCTGTTGCCATGGTAACAGATAATGTGTTATTTTATTAGCATTAATTAATGCCTCCTTTTAACAAATGGAATGTACCATTATGAAATAGCAATGGAGGTTATTTGCCAAGTTACATATGACAGGCTATACTGGGTTAGATAGTACCAGCAGCAAGATTTAATTATTCACCTAACCAACTGGAAGATATGGATTCAGGTTTTTCTCAAGTAAAATAAAGAAAAACAATTAGACACATTCACAAGCTGTTACCTTTCTTTAATTTATTCCTCTTAAAAGTACTGTTTCTCATTATACTATTTCCTTATATTATATGATTAGCAAAGGAAAAAAAGAATATTCCATTCAACAATTCCTAACTAGCATTAGTAGAGCCATTTGGTTGAATTAACACTGAATTAGAAAGGTATGAAGTAATAAGGGGTACTTCATATTACTTGTGCAATGTAACATTGATATGCAAATATACGCAATATATGAAACAGTTGTAATAGAAGTTATTGCTGCTAAATAAGTTATCATACACTGGGAAGAATAAGCAAAGAAAATGTTGACAAAGGAAAGAAAACCCTTTTACTTGAGATAAGGAATGAACACTCCATCTAGTTTGCCTGCCAGTTGAGAACTGAGTGTGGCTAGCATTATTTTCCAACTTGTGCAAGGTTGTCAGGTGACAGTTTATATGTAAGGACAGATAATTATTTTTGAATCCCTACAATATCATAATGTATTGAGATATTTCTCATAATTCAATTATGTATGATTTTGAATTTAATTTTCTTTAAAACAAAATCAGATGGTACATAAAGCATCACAAGTTTGAATTTTAAAAGCAAAATTAAATGATAATTTTTTTACTTGTTAAAGATAAATTAACACCCAAAATTGTGAAAAAAAAAATATATATATATATAGATAGATAGATAGATATTGATAATATTAGTGGTATATATATACACATACATATGCAATCATATACCTAAAATATATAAATATATATACATACATACATACACATACATATATATTTGTATAAAAAATAAATCCAAGAGGATAGAATCCGGGTAGAACTCAATGTCCGGGACAGAGTAAGGATATAATAATTTTTGAATTTGTAGGTCTGATGAATTTGATCGTATTTACGATTCCAATGGAATAAATTATGACCATGGAATATTAGTGTTTAAGCCTTTTTATTATATATATAAATACTCAAATAATTTTCTCCAGGCTATGTAATTATTTCAGCTAGGGCTTTATGTGATGTGTATTGGAAAGTTCTCAGCTTGCCCAATTTCCCAAGACCTAACCAAATGACCTAAATATAAAACTTTTTTTTTTACTTCTTGGCTGCAGTGAGGACTTTTTGGTACTCTTCATAATTTGTGGGTAAGATGGCACTTGCAAGCATCTAGTTTACTTACGGTTGCTTGCTCCCTCAAGCAAAAAATAAGATGCTATCCTTGTTAAAATAAAGTAATAAATCTTATTTAATAGCATACATGTTTATACAAGTATCTAAATAAAAAGACTGAACATTTTGTTTTATTCTTGGTTTGTTTAGCATTATATATATATATATTATTATTGGTTTGTTTAGCATTATATATATATATATATATATATATATATATATATATATATATATATATATATATATATATATTCATGTTTCTCTTGCCCTTGAATTTTATTTGTATTGAATACTCAAACTAGATTAAAAATATTTGATTGCTCATTATTATTGCCTTTCTGATAAATGTATCTGTGTTGACATTTACTTGAACTTGAAACTGTACTATTAATTTTTTTTTTCAAGCAGATGGGAACAAGCAAGCAGTAATCACTGAGAAATATTATAAAATGCAAAATAATCAATGATAACAATCCTTGATAACTGATTCATATCACTTATTTTTATTGCTTTTTCATACAACTGTGTGACATGTTTTGTTACTTGGAAGTGTTTGAAATTTTTAATTTTATGCTGTTTATAATAGAGCTAATTTAATAAGATTTAATATTCTTGTATTGTTACTCAAAATCCAGATAGTATAAAGCTATTCATATTTGTTTCCATCTACTTTAAAATTTTTATGATGAGTAATAATTTCTGAATTATTAGTGTTTAAAACTAAATACTGTCTTATTTTGAATTGACAGAAAAAGACAATAAATTATTAATCAGAAAAGGCTTTTAAGTAACTGGCATTTTATTAACATCAAAATTATACATCAAAATTATTTTTGTGTGTCTGTGTTTTTTTTGTTTTGTTTTTGTTTTTTGTTTTTTTTAATTTTTTAATGGGAAGAGAGATGTCCAAGTTTTAGTTACAGTTTCAATAGTAAAGTAAATATATGCAATTATTTTTAACCTATATGCTTTGTTGTTTAAGTAGTGATGAACATTTTAAACCAAAGAAAGATCAAGCATTTTGCATTACAGTATTTTAAATTTATTAAATGAATTTAAAAGTCAAATTGCTTCATATGAGATGAAAGCTGAATTAATATCAAAGAAGAATTAATTTGTATTTGAAGATAAAAAAAACTTTATTTAAATATCATTGTGCTTGAACTTTCTTGACATTTGTGCTTTGATCATTGAATTATTGTTTTATTGCTGGTATTTGTATAGAAAGAAAATAAGATTTATATACTTTTCACTTTCTTCATCAGTATTATGGCTCACCGAAAGAATACCAAATTCTTCTTCAGAACCTTAATTTAGCATTCTCAGTGTTGTTCACAATAGAGTGTATCCTGAAGTTAATGGGATTTGGCATAAGGGTAAGCCAGGAATTAGGGACCAGATTACTTTTTGCTTACTTCGACTGGAGCTGCTGCCTTCAACAGGTTGTAACAGGTTGTAAAACTCATATACCAAATTTTGTTATGAATTGATGTTGTCATGGAATTTAACAATTCTGTCAACATTAAACATTTAAAAGAATAGCTGCTGATGTTCTCTTTTGGTGCTGTGGTAAATTATAGAAGATTTGTCAGAAGAAAAAATCCTTCTTTTTCTTTCTTATATTCAACATAAAAACTTTTGTACTTAAATAATCTAGAACTGTTAAAAATATGTAAAGATATTTTTCATCAATTAAAATTCAGCTTATTTCAATTCAATTAAATGTTCACCTTATATTTTAATTGCCAGTATTTTAAGGATAAATGTAATTTACAAAAAATGTATCACAAATTTTGTATAAATAGTATATTTGTTGCACATAATATTTACATGGTACAATTAGCAGAGATAAATTTTAATAAGTATAAATATAACATCATTATATAATTATCAAATTTACTTTTGTTTGTACTTTTCTCAATTGCTTATATTCAATTTTTCATTTTAAGATCTGTGATTTTCTTCAATAAATAAAATTATTTTCAAAGTCTCATGTAAAAAACTAATTTTCAAACTGAACACAGAATGAAGGAAGATAAGATGCTTTTGAAAATCTTCTTTCTTTATACTATACTTGATGTTAACCACAATTCGAAAAGGGAAAGCTGCCACTCAGTTGTCATTAAACGTCTTTTTACAATCTAAAAGGCTGCAGCTAATGGTTTTTTTCTTAGAGAATTTCAAGCACTTTGAATTTCTTTTCAAAAAGCTTTGATGTTGAATACATTCTGTCAAATGCAATTTGGAAAGTCCTTAAAGTAAAAGATTTCCATTTATAAATAACTCAATCGTAATCTACATTTCTTTGTTTCAGTTCAGTTAAATAATACTTTGAACTTGTGTTTCAAGTTTTAAAACTAATACAACATCTCAGCTTTACATAACTTTTATTTCTCTATTTTTATTAATGGGTTCTTTTTTTTCGGTTAATATTGGCTTTAGTTTTGTTGCTTCTGCTGTAATTTTATTTTTTTAGAAAACGATTGAGGAAATAGGTTTTTTGCTTGTACTAGGTTGGTAGGCTACTGTATAATCCTTTACTATCTCGGATATTAGTCATGGTCATGGATGCTAGATTACCTTCAGTCAACAGATATTCAATCTAGCAAACTCCATCAGCTTAGGCTCTATTAAAAATATTATTAAAGACTTCCAAGATTAATTATCTAGCCTTGGAAATTAAATAGCTACATGTATGGAAGTGTGAACATCTGGTGGAGTAACTAGATTGAGGATTTGTTGACCTTTAAGCATGTCTTTTGTATAATATATTGAGACCAGTCACACAGGAATACTGAGCAATCATTATCAGGCAAGTATTTTAGTATGGATATGTTATACATATAGTAATATTGTTTTGGTATTTTGTTCCTTTTCAGTGCTATGTCAGCCCTTTACCTGAACCAAAACCACAGACCAAAATCTTCCTGAAAGTTCAAAAAAACATAAATATTGCCTTCACTGTTCTTTTCACCATTGAGTGTATCCTGAAGTTACTTGGATTTGGACTCAAGGTTCAAAAATGTATTATGTTGGTTGCTGCATTTTGTTGAGTGTCCTCTATGTTAGTACTTGCCAAATGATCTCCTTCTCCCGAGAGTTTTGTTTCCTTTTATTGCACAGTTGTTGATAAGTTTTAGTGTCATTACCTTGCACTTCTAATTTTTGCTCCTGCATTCATAATATTAGAGAACTTGTGTGCATATCTTCTGCTCTATCTTTATATATATATATATATATATATATATATATATATATATAAAGAGAGAAAGAAAGGTACATATGTAGATGCATATTGTATGTACATATGCACATTATATATAACACAGAAATACATATGTGCACACATGCAAATATATGCATATAATCTTAGCACATACATACCATTGTACACAATAATTCACAAAATGTTTTAATAGAATTTGCATCAGACAAATGCTTTATTGCTTCTTGTGAAAGAAAGTTACAGAAAAGAAAGTTTGCAAATTCTAAAATTCAAAATATTAAAAAAGAAATACAAATTTGGTAAATAATTCACTAATATGATATGCACTTTCAAATACATTTCCAGGGCTTATTTTTTTCATCTGGGAAAAACAAGCCATTTTTTTCAGTTAATGTAAACTATACATCTAAAAACAACTAGTCACATTATTTCTTGAAATATTCTAAATAATGAATTCTCTTTTTTTAATGATTTTTTGTAGAGTTTATTTTTTGTTAATTTTTGTTTTGATTAATTTTTTTCTCTTTATTCTACATCAATTATTTTTATCATCACTTCCGGAAAAATAATTTATTCTAAGTAAATTGCTTATATACTTAAAGAAGTCCCACCATTCCATACTAATATTAATCAACTCAAACTTCTATATAAACAGGTATGTTCACAAATGTACTTTTCTTGCTACCTTTTGTCAAACTTCTAACTTGATAACATTCATCATGATACACTTTTAATCTTTATAAAACTTACAATTGTTTTTTTTATCTATGGTCATTGAATTTTCATTTAATCATCTCCAACTATATCATGTGTTCACCAAACATGGTAGATTTTTTTCAAGAGACTGAACCTGCTGATATTAACTTTCAAATTTGAAATGTTTACTAACTAGATATAATCTGAAAATTTGCTGACCACGTTAACTGTTTTTGTACAGAAGTCCCTTTTCAATGTAACACTAATGCTGAACCTGAAACTGTTCTTTTTATTTATTTCTATCTATCTATCTATCTATCTATCTATCTATCTATCTATCTATCTATCTAAGCATTTTTTATCTGGTCAGTTTCCATCTGACTTCTTACTTGTGTGTTAG